AAACCTCTTTAAACAGAGGAGCCTTGTCCTATATCCTGAAGGGGAAATTCAGATTCAGAGTCTCTCAGCTGAAACACTCGGCTCTTTACCTCAAGCACCTCCACTGAATGAATTGTAAAGGGAGAAGTAAGGGAGGATACATTTCGGTAATTCTCTACAGATTAGCATTTAAACATGTCCTTAACCCAAGGCAGGCCCATGGCATCTCTGTCTCTGTGAGAGCAATCCTTTCATACTCATTTTAAGCACTTTTTCACTCACAATGTCCTCAACCGTACAAGGATTGTAAATACTAAGGGGAAGCTCCTAATATGTGTGCTTTCAAATGCTAAAAGTGGCCTCGGTGTATGATTCAGTTGCGGTGTTGTACAATGCTGTGCAGTTATACAGCAATGCCATGCTGCCTGAGGAGGCACTGCACTGTGCGCAGGAAGGCGCTAGCTCAGCACAGGAACATCATCATACCCTTTCTTTCCTACTCTGCATTTCAACTGCTTTTGCTGGAGAGAGGGTGTTTTGTGTTGTCACATCTTTCTTGGAGATTTTTGGGCCATAGCTGCTGTAGTTGTTCTCCAGCACAGCAGCATGAGAGCAGCTCTTCTCCATTTCTTTTAACACGAATCATGCCCTTGGTGCTGTGGTATATTAGGTTATCTATTCATTTGAGACTAGTTTTAGAATCAGTGATGGTTTTAAGGGAAGCAGGTCTTAATTCCTGGAAGGAGTCTTGAATGCTGGTAAGGAACACTGGCTTTCTTACGTAACATGCTTTTATAAAAACGTTTCAAGTTCTATGTTATCTTGAAGTGGTGATTTAATGGTGTCTAACAAGAGGTACTTGTTCAATTACAGCAATATTTTCTGCTCTGAAGAATCTCCAGGAAAAGATGAATCTGCTGGAGTTGGAACGGCTTCAGGCGGAGGAGAATGTAAAACACCTCAGCAGGGAAACAGCAGATTATAAAAAAGTACTAAGTGAACAAATGCAACACAAAGAGCATGACAAGACTGAAGTGTCAAAGAAAAATCAAGGTTGTTTGCAAACTTTATGTAGATACTACAAAACACTGATGTGGATGCAACTTGAGTTTTATCAGTGCATAAAACTTAGTTTACTTTGTTCATCATCTTTTACTTTGCAGTGACATGTGGATTTACAAGGAAATAATTTTTAAAGCATACTTTGTTTTAGGGATTTGCATGCATACAAAAGTTCATTAGGCTTAATCTGTGAGTTTCTTTAGATGGTCTTTTCCTTGTTTAGTTTGGAACTGCCCTGAAACCAGAAAAAAATCCCAGCAACAAGCAGTGCATGTTTTCACTTTTCTGCCTTCTGTTACCTTCAGAACTGGCTTCTCAGCTGGCAGCTGCTGAGTCTCGGTGCAGGCTTTTAGAGAAACAACTGGACTACATGAGAAAAATGATCCAGCAGGCAGAAAATGAGAAGTCCCATCTCTTGGAGAAACAGGTGTGTTCTCAATATTCTCTCAGGGTTAAATTGTAAAAAAATCATTAACTATGTCATGTTTTTTGTAGTTACTGTAATTTTAATATTTTTAAGCATGGGTGTCTATTTCAGCTGGACTTTATATACTTAGATGTGGATAATTTCCCTACTTAAATTTCCCAGTCTTATCAGGACTGTGGTATTTTCTGTCTTTGTGCACCTGTCTGTAGGGCAGTATCAGGCTCTGATATTAATAAGAATTGTTTGCTTCTGCGTGATTGGCTTACTGCAGCAGCTCATCCTTATTCCTCAGCATTATACCCGCGGGCAACTGGAAAAGAACTTCCCTTTTGTGTTTACACTCTTGAGATCTTTGGGGATTTTCTTTACTAGTACTGCTTTTGCTAAACTGGGGCTGAAATAGTGATTCTGTAGAAATAATAGTAAAATTTCTCTTTCACACCATTAGTGACTGAGATTTGCCCTTTGTCTAAAATGAGCTTGAGTTTTTTTTGTAGGAGTATGGATCACCTAGAGCTCCCTGTTCACTGGTCTTTGTGGCTGACCTATTTCAGTCAATTCAATATTTTCTGAAGAAAAAAAATTAAGCTATCTCCAGTAGCTGAGTAATGAGGGTTTTTTACCACATTGGGTTTGGAGAGAAGATAGACTCTGCAGGATCTCTCTCATCTGAATCTGATTGTGAGGTTCCCAACATTGATGGACCAGTGGCGCAGTTGCTCCCTAATCGTAGCACCATCTAAATTGCACAGAGGAAGCAGTAGTTCCTCTAGACTGTTTATGGGCCTCCTTTGTGCTGCACACACAAGGCTTACTACAGATGGTCTTGTTTAATTGTGCTTATAATTGTTTTTCTTTTCACTTCTGCCTTCAAGGGTTCGTTGGAGAGAGATCGACTTCTTGATCAATCACATGTTCAGTCTAAATTGGAAAAGCTGGATATGCTGGAAAAAGAGTACAGCAGGCTTACGACAATGCAGTCCATAGCAGAGGTCTGTCGTTTGTACTGGATCCTATGTCAGGTTTATGTTTATTCTAATCAGCACTTCATAGCTTTATGGCAATAATAGAGCTGAGCAAAGCTTTATGCTGAAAACAGCAAGTAAGCATCATCTTAACGCTGAAGTATTGTAAAACCTTGCAGTTATTGCTGGAAGTCTGCATGGCCAGGTAGGCTTTCAGCCACTACACTTTATTTAGCCTTAACAATATCTGTTGGTTTTCCTTTTTTGTGGTTAGTTGGTGCATAGGCATGTGGGACTGCAGGCACTCCTAAGCTCCCAACTTCTGAGTTGCCTTGCATACTGCTGAATGATAGCAGTTGTATTCTGTTGTGACCCAGATTTGACTTGACTTGTGTGGGTTTCACGTGTTTGGTTTTTTCTTTTAGCCGCTTGCCCTCCTCCTTAAGAAATACAATTATTACTAGTTATGTTGTGTGCTAGGCCTCTAGCACTGTCTGGCTGTTTGGGTTTGAACCTGTCTGCCTCTTCAGGGTTCCTTTTGACTCGGTAGCTTTTACAAGTTCAACATGACTGTGTTTAGTCATGTTCTTTCGGTGTACTATCTGAAGTCTGGTCCGCATCCTACTTTTTGCTGCTGTAGAGAGACCACAAGACTCCAAAGCCTGGGAACTACAGAGGGCTTAACCAGGGAGAGGCTTCCCCCTGCCAATTTCCTCCATCCAAAAGCAGCAGATAGTATGTGAGTAGATTGTGGTATTGAGGACAGCTCTAGACTCTCTCAAAATTGTAGGCTTGCTATCCTGCACACCTGTCCTTGCCAGGTGCTGAAGCAGATAGTGTCTTTTCAGGAGTACATAAGGAGATGTTGGATAGTAAATCTGTAGCGGGTTGGTCTGCTCCAGGACCTTTGGACACTACAGCTATTCTTGGGAGTCCCTTACCCAGGCAGCTGTAACACCCCATTTTGTTAAGCTGCATTTATGGTGTAAAAGTGCCTGCATTGCTTACCTGGGCCAAACTGTTTCAAAGGGAGATGAGTGTCTTCCAAGCCTTGTTCACTGAAGTAGCAGTATTTCATCAGGGTTGAAATAACTGGTTCAGCAACAGGAGTTCCTTTGTCAAGGGCTTTTACCAAGTTTTTGACTGGTAGCAGTTGGAGTTTGATGGGGCTAGGTTATTTTGTCTTTTTGTGCCTGGCTAGTAAACATAATTTCAGCATAACATTTTTTTTTCCCCTGAATCAGACTAGATGTCTTTGATTCTTTGCTATCTTAAGTAATTAGATGACTCCTCATGAGCCAGCAATGATGTAACTGCCTCTGATTTCAGGTACTCTGCCAGAGCACAAGTTGTGTAGGGGTCTAAATGAGAGCATTTAATGTCTGCAGAGCCACTACCTGGCACTATACGTATTACCTTCAAGCAATTTGCCAATGTTAATACTGCCTGTGAAAAGGAAACACTGAGACTCTTATTCATGTGAGGGACTCCTAGCTGGAGTGCTTACTCAAGAGAATTTTCTGATGTATGTTTGTTGCAACTGTAGTCCCACAGTGTAGTCTCTGGAGAGCTGACAGAGAATCTGAGCATGTCTGTGTCTGAGGATAGAGTCAGAGGATGGGATTATTCCATAAAAGCACAGTTTGGGCTTTGGTCTTGCATGTGGCCAGATGGCTAGAATTTGAATGCATGTGTAGATGGCATGTTTTGAAGAACTGTAGTTGGTAGTAATTGATCTTTTCTTAATGCTAACAATGATGGGGTTTTATTAAGCCTCAATCTGTGAACAACAGAAATAATAAATCCTTGCATTCAGTTGTGGCTGTACACTACCTACACCTCTGGTTTTTCCTCTATCCTCTAATTGCCAGGTGGTGAGAAGCAACACCTGCCCTGTTCCAGCTGACTGCTCAGCTGTCAAGCAGGTGCTAATTTGCAAGGTAGTGAAGCACAGAGATAAAAGCTGTCTTTACACTGGAGACATTTCTTTCTCTGGTGGAACTCATTTGGATGTTTATCTCAGCAGCCAATTTTTACAAAATGTAGGTGTTCTGTATTTTTGAGGTCTCATACCTTTCTGCTGTCTTTGGTTAAAATTGAGGGACAGGGTGGCATCCAGAGGGACCTGGGCAAGTTTCAGAAGTGGGCCTATGTGAACCTCTTGAGGTTCACAAGGGCAAGTGCAAGGTTCTGCACCAAGTGCACCTGTATCAATACAGGCTGGGGGATGAAGGAATTGAGAGTAGTCTGGATGAGGACTTGGGGGTACTGGTGGGTGAAAAGCTGGACAGGAGCTGACAATGTGTGCTCACAGCACAGAAAGCCAAGTGTATACTGGACAAATAAAATAGACATTGAAGTATTTTATTTCTGTTTTTTCATTGCAGTTTTTTGCAGTGGCTGCTGGTGACTGAGCAGTGTTCTAGGCAAGCCCAATGCTGACCTGTAGTGTGCTTTCTGTGCTGTGCTACCTTTAGTGATGGGCAGTGCAGCTGGGGAGTGTCTGTGCTTGCTGTTAGTTGGCCCTGTGGCCTCTCCCTCCCAGTGATGGACCAGTAATCCATGTAATGTTTTTTAATATAAGCAAGAAAAAAATAATTTTGGGAATATGACTTGGATAGATCATTCCTAACAGGGTCCGTCACTGGTGACACAGTAAGATATATTTCTGCTGTGCAGTTTGAGCTGCACACTGCAGCTAAACAGCTGGCTGAGTGAATACGCCTTCATTTCAGTATAGAGGCATTGACCCAGCTTCATGTCAGTCTTCATTTCAAACAGAAGATTTGCTTCAATATTTTCATATTAAAAATTCTATCATACTTAACAGGTTAAACAAAGATCTTTGTGAGGCTGACCACATGGAAATCAAGAATGGTGCTGCATGCTGTAAAGGGCAGAAGGTTATTTTAAGTTACCTGGAACATAGCCAATTTGAATGAAAAAAATAGTCAAAAGAGTTCTTTTATTTAACAGAAAAAGCTGGTTCCTTTTTATGTGGTGCCTTTGTCCTTAATATTTATCCGGGGTTTTGCCTTTTAACACCTTTGTATAACAGCCGGTTACATTAATCTTGCAGCTAATGCTTAAATAAAGCAGAATTGAAATATTTACCGTTTCAGCATGGGGGGTTTATAAACTGACAGAAGTGTACAAAGGTAGCTGCTACTTTGAAATTCATTTTTTTCTGTCTTAAGTTTGATTAGTGGCTCTGTGAATAATCAGCCTTTGGGGGGAAGAGAAAGGAAGTTGCTTTGTGTCCTGAAGTTCTGGATTGTTTTTTTCACTCTGCTGTGTAAAATCAGAAAGTTATTTAATAACTTTCGTGTTGGGAGTTTTAAGTGTATCTTGCTTAAACAAGGTTTTCATCTTCTTGGAGAGTTTGCAAAGAAATGTGTACCTTTCCCCTTAACTCTTTTATTTGAACAGGACTTTCAAAAGAGTTCTTCCATGTTTTTACTGAAATCGCTTCAGTTTTGCTTAAAGAACTCTCAGAGGCATCATCTAAACTTTCCTACATCTTCTTTGTTAAGAAGGTGGCTAGTTGTTCTAATATTCCTCTCTTCTAAGAGTTTAAGTTACAGATATTAGCAAAATACTTTAAGTGATCTAAATAAAGCAAGCCTTCTGTTAATGATCTTTTAATGATACATTATATACTTTTGTTTGCCCTTTTGTAGTACAAAATCTTTTGGGATAACATACACAACCAATTTTGTAGCGGTTTTTTTGCAACCAAAGAGAGAGACAGCCTTGTATATTGCTCTCCCTGTAGACTGCGACTTAAATTCAGATGTCAATTGCAGAAGTAAAAATAGAAAAATCAACTAAGTTTTAAGCATAAGCACTTGACTGCTGTATTTACACAAACAAAACGTCAGCAATCATTCTAATAGTGAAGTCTTTACTTAGCTTTAAGTCGCAAGTTGAACTGATATATATTTGCTCAAGCTCTTTGTATTGTAGGCTTCAGGAGAAAAAAGAACTGTTTCATTAGTAATGCTATTATTTTTGTTCAACTTTGACTAGAAAAAAATGAAAGACCTGGAACAGAAGCTTCAGGAGGAAGAACATGCAAGGAAGCTTGTTCAGGAAAAAGCAGCTGAGGTAACCAACAGGAAATTTCTTTTGTACTAGCATGCACTGTAATTAGCTCTTCCTTTCCATCAACTCTTCAGATAAACTTGCTGAAAGTGCCTCCCATATACCGAATAATTAAAACTTCCATTTAGTTTCTGGGGGTTTTTTTCTCCTTTGAAGTGCCAAATGTTCTCAACTTGTCTGAGCTTTTTGGAAACCTTTTTCTAACAGCACCTGTGCACTGAAGCTTGATTTCTTTAATAAAAGAAGATAGTTGGAAAAGAGGAGTAGACATTGAGACTAATTAATAGTTGAGGATATATGAGGATCTCTGATGTAAATAGATCAAGGCCAACAAGTGTGCTCCCTTGTTCATAATTGTAACAAGAAATACTGTAGGAGGAGTCAAAAAAGAGACAGCGTACTACTGGTTATGAGCCCATAAGGACGCTGGTCTTCTCCAAACAGAAGTGTTTATTAAATATTCATTGTATGCTGAAGAAGTATGTAGGTAACGTGTTAGGCTCTAGCATTAACCTTTGCCATGAGTTTGGGAGTGCGGGGAAAGGGTGTCTCAAATTAATCATGAATAATTGTTCTGTGATTGCTGCTACTTGGGATTGGTTAGGAAATGGTTTCTAAAGCTATGCCATAGCTTCCTCTCGGAAGGAACAGCAAAGTGTACAGACCTCTCTGCTGACAGTGAGAATCTTAACCCTAACTCTCCCAACAGATGGTTTGGGGTTTTTTTTACTGTCATATTTAATACGACAGAAGGAATAGTTGTCTGTTAACTACATGCCACAGGATCAATTTGAGCAGGGTGAGGTGGCTTGACTTTTCTAAGCCTTGGACTGCAAAAGCATCCTAAAAACTTCCAGCCCTTGCTTTTGGAGAGCCTGTATTTTAAAAATTGTTGGTTTGCAGTTCTAAGCTTACTCTGTCTCTGATTATCTGCTAATGTTATTCGAATAACTCCCCTTATTCCCTCAATTAAAGCTTCAGACAGGCCTGGAAACCAACAGACTGCTGATTCAAGCAGCATCACCATTGCTTTCTCCAAAAGCAAGAAAACCCAGGAAGAAAACTAAACAGCCAGATAAGGTAATATGATGGGAAGAGAAGGGCAGTTACTGAGAAGTTAATTAAGGGTGTGTGCATGCAGTCAAGAAGGTAGGTTGACTCTCTTATTACAAAAAAAAAGGGAAAGTGGGTTTGCTGTAGTGTCATCTTTGATAAACATTTCTCTCTTCTTTCTTTCCAGAAACGCTCTCTCACAAACCAGCTCACTACGCAGCCCCATTACAGACTGTCTCTGGGTGATGTACCCTTTGTAGCTGGGAAGGTGAGCTGCTTAATTCTGAAGCTTAATGCTCACTAGCTGCAGCTCCTTAAGTGGCTTTGGCTTGGTGCACTCCTGACACCCAGTGGTCAGAAAAATTCATTTTCTTTGACTCTTCAGTTTGTTGTCAAAGGGCTTGTTGAGTATTGATAACTTGCTGAAGTGGCAGTTCCAAAAAATGGATCCTCTCTCTGCTGATAGTCTTCTTCAAGCTGTTCTCGTTAGTGCATATTCATTTGAACAAAAAATATGTTCTTGGCAGCAAATAAAAACATTATTGTTTTTAAATATTCTTCATTATCAAGTAGGTTGTTGACAATGCCATTTAGAACAAGTCTTTTACTTTTCCTTCCAGTCTACCAGTCCCAGTCATTCAGTTGGTGCCAATGTACAACATGTCCTACACCTGATGAAACAACACACAAAAGCTTTGTGTAACAGTCGTGTGGTTAGTGATACTCCACTAGCAAAACCCGTCAGCACTGGTCATCCTGCCAGCAAAAGCAGAAAGTCATCTCTGCCAAAGGAATCTTCTTCATCGCAGGAAGAGCTCTCAGAAGTGCTGCTGACCTTACAAGATGAATTTGGGCAGATGAGTTTGTGAGTTCAGCATATTCTCCATTGCAGATAATGAATGTAGTTGCTTTATATTTTCAGTTTTTTGCTTTAAAGTTGGAAGGCTTTTCCTGAGAAAGGATTTAGTTTTGGGAATTCTCTGGCATATAATCTCTCTTTTCTACTGGCCATGGAGGCTGTAATTTATTTTTGCAGTTAAAATAAGTTCTGATAAACAATCTGGACTGCATATCTGTTTTTATATGCTGCAGTATCAGATTTGTGAGGGATTGGGGAGAAGTGTGAAAATAGCCCCTGATGCAGTGGACAAATGCTCCATTAAAGGACAGCTTTAGCAGCCATTTTGCTTGTCCTAGTTAACAGAACAGGAACTGTTATCCTCCTGCACAACTGCAGTAGATACACATATGCAAAATATTAACTGAATGAGTGCTGAGATCATGCCCTCAAGGCGTTATTTGGTCATTTTGAATGTGTTATTGAGACTTAACGTTGCAAAAGCCTGCCACCAGGATGCGCTGCTGTAATAATGCTGCTAACCAGCAAAACTGTTCTTACTGGTTCATTATGGTACGTTGAACATGTCTGGCTGCTGATGCTATGGTCTCCTCAAAGTGTTATTTCTGAACTGGCTGTACAAGCACTAGAAGCCAAGGGCGTTTGATGCAAGCTTTCTTCTGTCTGAATTCTGTGCTAGTGATCACCAGCAGCTGTCAAAGCTTGTCCAGGAAGCCCCAACCATTGCAGTGAGGGAAGATCTGGAGCGGGAACTTGAGGCACTGGTTAGAAAGATGGAAGCAAAGGCAGACCAGATCAGCAAAGTCCGAAGGCACCGGTTGCAGGTGAGTTACTTTTGACTGTGTTCATGCTTCTGTAGAGTTGATGTCTTAAGGTGGGTTTTTTTTTTTATTCTGTCTTAATTTAGCAGTAACTGGGTAAAGCAGAAGTAACTGCTGTAGAGCAGGAGCTTTAGCTTTGATGTCACAGCATTAATCTGCATACTCCCATTTTTCTGTCCTAGTATTTCTGCAGGAGCATCCTTGCTACACTGGACTTCAGTAGGGCCAAC